AAAATGGAAGGTGCAAGGTCACTTGGTGCAACTGCAAAGTTGCAGAGGAAGGGAAGTATAAGAAAGCAGAACAAAATGTACTTATTTACAGAGGTGAGGTTGTCATAAATTTAATGTGTAACTAAGATAAAGGGATTAAACTTAGTCTGTCCCTTTACTGGACTTGAAATCGCATTACCTTTCCAAAGTTTTACTTTCCATGCTGATTTTCTCAGCTGTTAAGGCAATGGCAATCAAAGGGGGCTGCTTGTTACTTAAAATGGATTTTTTTTTTAAATTCTAGAAAGCAGCAAACTGCGTTGTGATGAGGGTGATGCTTCCTCGGCTGCCCACTAGTTTTCCAGGTAATGGAGAAACCTGTCCCCTCTGTGCTTGGGTGGAGGTAGGAGAGGTATCCTGACTACAGGAAAGCATGGAGATTGACTGAGGAAGTCAGCGTGATACTTTTCAAATATGGAGAAAACCCCAGATATAAATACACCTCTCTTTCTAATGGGCTCAGCTGAAATTTTCACAGTACCGAGATGCATGTGCGCACATGTCTAAGTAGCAGAGGATACGGGTACGCAGGCTGGTGGCGGCCCCGAGCGCTCGAGGGCTGCTGGAAAGGAAGGGCTGCAGCAGCACAAAGAGGCTTCCAACTCCCCATCTGGAAAAATCCCCCACAGGAGCGCAGGCAATGGCAATGCCATCTGTCTGTCTGCTGCAGAGCGGATCTCCTCCCCTGGGAGCAGGAAAAAAGCTGGCAATGGCGGTGGGCTTTCGCTTCCCCGCTGCACGGAGGCTGGACGCAGATTGCTGGGTGTTACCTGCAGAGACCAGGCTGCTCTGTTCTGTCCCCTCCCCTTTTTTAGTCAGTTTTGTCTGAATTCCAGTTCTCTTTATTTCACCTTTTGACTTTCTTCCTTACACCACCTTCCTCCTTCCTGTCTTCCCAGCAGACAAGAAACAATGGATTTCTTCCTCCTTTTCTCTCCTGCCTCCTTTCATTCTTTTTTATGCCTTCTCAGCCTATTTCAGATCTTCTTAGAATCACAGAATTATTTAGGTTGGAAAAGACCTTCAAGATCATCCCTAACCCTGCCATCCCACCACTAAACCCCATCCCTAAGCACCTCATCTGCCTGTCTTTTAAAGGGATAGGGACTCGACCACTTCCCTGGGCAGCCCATTCCAGTGCCTGATAAACCTTTCAGTGAAAAAAATTTTCCTAATGCCTAACCTAAACCTGCCCTGGCACAACTTGAGGCCATTTCCCATCATCCTATTGCCCATGACCTGGGAGACCAACGCCCACCTCACTAGAACCTCCTGTCTTCTGCAGTCCCTTCTGGAGGGTATGTTACGAACTGACATTATATGTCTTACTTTAAATAATTATTTTCTCTTGGGCAGTGTCCTGATGCTGGGTGATCCTTGGGTGGCTGTGGAAACTTCCGAGACCCAGTATACACACACCTAAGTGGTAAAAGGAAGGTGCAAGCTCCTCTTTCCTTGGTCTGTGGGACAAGTGCAGATTTAATGAGCAAAAGGAGGTTAAAGCCTGCAGTGTAGTCCTTCCTTCTGCCAGCACTATCTGGGACGGCACACAAACAGGGAGAAAGTCCTGGCCCTCGCCCCCAGCGCGGGTTGGGACTGCGCCTGCTGCTGGTCTGGGTGTGGTGCCTTTCCTAGAGGACAGAAAATACTGAAGACAATGAGGTATTTGACTGCAGGGATGTATATATTAGCTGTACTCTAGCAATGAAATCTTATTTTGGATATTATAGTAGTGAAGCTGGGTGAGTTAATTTTGTCATCTGACCCAAACCTACAGGACCACTTTACACTGACTATAAAGCCTGCATCCTCGGGGTTTCCTGCAGCATCTTACTTCATGTGTTACAACATGAAATACTGGTCTAACCAAAGAAAAGAGCATGTCGCCCATTGAGTTTTAAAGTGATTTCCTATTCCTGTTGGTACTTTTTAACATCTTGCTGCTGTGGAAGCCCAACTAGAAATCCCTAGGCTAAGAAGAGGCGGTAACTGCCCAGCACCTTTCATCATTCACTCTTATTTCTTTAGTAGAGTTAGAAGGGACTCAGTTGTTTTCAAAAAAAGAAATCTGGTCATCCCTCACTGTCTGGCATCCATTTCTGTTCCAGGGCATCCCTGAATTTGTGTGGATTTCCAGCTGGGTAAATTTAAGAAACCTGGGGAAAGCAAAACAGGCTATTTCTCTGCCCTTTATCTGCTTATGTTTTCATTGTGGCGTGAACTATCACGTTTAACCTATCCAGAGTTCTCTATAAAGTTAGATCCCTGATAAGACATCAACTGAAAATTGCTGATGGAAAATATTTACGTATTTTCTTTAACTCTTCAGAGCTCTTTAAAATCTGGGAAACTAACACCACCCTTCCTCAGCATCCTCAAGTTCACTGCCTCAGGCTGCAGCCTGTACATCCTGAGACCTATTTAATTCACTTTTCTAGCGGTGTGAAAGCCTTGCAGTCTGACTCAGCAAAATTGGTTAAACTGGACACAAGACTGGACCAAGTCCTTTCCCATTCTACTTCTGCAGAACCACTGAGGCTTCCCGTCTCTGGCATCCATCCCTCACTGTCCCCTGGAAACCCACTGATCTAATTTTCTAAGAGGATCTGGGGGGAAGTCCTGCCAGGCAGCTCCGTGGAAGTCGCCCAGGACATTTCAACACCCTCTTCCTGGAAGAGACTGTCCCATCCTATAGTTGCCCCGCTTGGCTCCAGCTAGTCTGCAAATGCATCTTCAAAATCAAATCAAGACAATATAACCTCCATATCGCTCCCTGCCCCCCCTTACATAGGCAGCAAAGTGAAATACAAACATATGGACTCCATAAATTCTTTTGTGAACGGCCTGGTGTTAAACATGCAGCCAAAGCAATGGTTATCATTAAACAAATAATGACAACGCTGGAGCATAACACAAATTACATGCCGGGCGAGATCCTCAGCTGCGTGGCTCAGTTTGCCCAGTGACACGAGGCTGATTTACACCGCTCCCTTGGGCTTGGTGGTGGTGCAGGCAGCGAACTGCTGCAAAACCAACACGGAACCCACGCTATCCTCTTGCAAACCTGAAAGAACTGCGCTTGCAGCTTGCTAAACACCAAATGAAACCGTGTTCTGTGGTGTTTGCAGAAGAGCG